CACGCGGAGCAAAAAAAAAAACACTCGTTCCGGTGCTCTTGATGCGTTTTACAGAGACGGACAAGAAATAGAACATTCCCGTCGCTGGTGTTCGATTTCCCGTCGTACTGAGGACACCAGGATTTACGAGAGGGCCCAAAATTCTGCGAATGGGGTCCAACTCGGGGATCTTTTCAAAGCCCAAAGAGGAGGCGAAGTCGATGTCTCCCAGAATTTTGAGGCATCTGGCCGTGATGGCCGAATGAGGGATTTCAATCTTGGACCGAAGCAGTCCAAAAGGCAAGGGCTCGAACCGACTGATGGGTTCGGAGATGCTTGCCTTGGTGGGCACTCTGTCACCGCGATGTGCCAATCCCCTTCTGTTGTGCCACGTCCAGTGTGCATTGATGAGGCAGTTCAAGGGCTGGTGCTTACCAACTCCTCCGATGAGAGCATGCCTTGCTGCCTTGTTGTCACAACATTGGATGTAGAATTTGCCTATAAGGGGTTCAAAGATGAGGGGTGCGACGATGGCAACCTAAGCTTCCAACAAGTGAGTGAATATGGTGTTGGAGCTGAACTGTCTGAAGATGTCTCGGGGTAACTTGCCCTGAAAGTATCACGCCCTTGATGTGTTACCTGGAGAAAAAACGACTCCCCAACCGTTGTCGATCTGGGTGAAGTCTGTCGGCCGCCAGTCGTCGGGGATCCCATCGCTGGGTCACATGCGTTTGTTGCCTGCCATGTAATAGGCGTCCGTGTATATGACGGCAAAGCTGGTTGTGGTGATCTGTTTGGGTGTGTGCATGGGCTGACAATGGGATATGATGTCCAGTAGAGCCCAGAGGGCTGCTCTCGTGGACTTAACCAGGTGCGGTGAACCCAGAATCGGCATGAGGTGTAATCTCGGTGCTCCCGTCGTCATCCACGTAGCGCAGGTGGGGCATAACGAGAGGATCCTGGAAATGGAGACTGAGGCGTCTCCGAAACGATTGTATCCCCAGACACTCGCAAAGGATCCGAAGAGGAGGATGTTGTGACTTCACAATGTCGGTCCCTCGGGTGTGCGCGTAGGAGTGGTCCCAAAGGTGTATGTTGTGCGATGGAAAGGCCTGGTGTGTGTGGAGGGCATGTTCCATCGCGAGGAGCAGCGATGTGTTGACAAACCACGGTGCGTCCTGGGCGAGTGCCAGGTACGGGTAGTTTTGGGGTGGGAATTGGTGGACTGCGATGCGAGTTGCACGAGTGGAGTGTACGCGGGCCCCGGTGCCGCTGCCGGGAGTTGTGCAGGTGCCAGAGGAGGAAACGATGTAGCGGGTGGTTGCGGTGGCTGGCTGCGATGGATAGGTGGCCAGATGTTCTGCCATGCTGTGTATGTGTATGGCTGCTGGAATGCCTGTGGCAAGATTGTGGGGTCCGCCGAGCATGGGTTGTTACCCAGCTGGGGTTCGATGTGATGTGAACGGATGGGCGATGCTGCTCTCGCCATGCCGGCTCTGGGGTGAGAATCTCGATGATGGGCTCGTGCTGCTGCTCGTCATTGTTGTTCCAGGGTCGTACTCCGCGTGAAAAGCAGGTGGTGGAGCCTTGCGATTTTCTGCAGGCATTGGCTGGACGACGTTGGTGGCCACTGGTGGGGGCTTGGCATGAGGCTCTTCCTCGTGTGATGTTATGGGCGGTGGCGCCTTCTTTGGAGGTGGCCCGATGATGCGGCTGGCTCAAGAGCTTCCGCCTCCGTGCCACTGCTCGGGGTCGAGGATGAAAATATAGAAGAGGAGCTGCTGCTGGAATGCAGGAGTCGCCGTTGCGCTTCTTCAGGGAAGCCCGTAAGATGATCGCCACACAGGCATTGTTTAATGACCAGGAAGGTCGTTGAACGCGAGGCCTTTTCAGCTTTGTCGAGCTGATGCCAGTACCAGGTCTTGCCATGTCTTGCCCAGTTCCAAAAAGTTGGTGCACCTGTAAGGCGTCCGAGTCAGTAGCAAATGCCGTGAGGCGCGGAAGCAGATGTCCCAGGGACAATTGCAGCACAGAATGAGAAATTGAACACAAGGTGTTCCAATTTACAGGTGCACCAGCTAGAACCTAAATGACAACGGGTAAGCAAAGCATGAAATCCGCATGCATTGGGTTCTTAGCTTGGTCCTCGACAATTGGCAACGCACGCGCAAGGCAATGCAAGTACTACTCGTCCTTTATCAATGCTGCGAACTTCATCTGCCGTCCGCAGGTCTTCTGGCCGTACTACACCATGCTTTACGACAAGAGCCTGCTGTAGCCACAATAGCGACCAGCCTTGCGGTTACCTTACGACGGTTGATACTAAAAATCCTGGATGACCGTAAGTGCTTTGCACTTGGGGATTAATTATGGTATTCTTCTAGTCTATACAGAGATCATGCAGGACAAACAGGACAAATTCTCCTACAGCTAAGACAAGTAGCGCTGTCACAACGCACAGTGCTCACTCCCTCATCATGACAGTCATTGTCACAAGGCACCGTACGCGCTCCTTCCTCCAACATTGGAGCGGTCTCAGTATTCCTAATGTTGACAGGGCGCGCACCAGCTGTGCAATACTTCTTGGTCGATGGTTCTGCCAGTGGTGCTTCTGCTGCTGCTCATTCTTCCTACTCCACTTTTTCCTCTTATTCTGCTTCTTCTGTAGTTTTGAGCAGCTGCGTGTGGCACAGCATTTGAAGTTCGCAGCCTCCAGACTCTCAATGCAGGCGGTTCGTGCAGCGTGCTCAATCACACTCCCTTGATGTTGCTCTCTGACCCGTCAGCCCAGTCCAGCAAAATTGTCTTAGTCGTGCGATCGAGGTCGTTATTGGTCCCCAGCTTTAATGAAATCCGCCAACCGCACCGGAATGCAATGAGCCGGAACCGCAAGAACCGATATAAACGTCCGCATCGAACGGAGCGGACCAGAAACATGTCAAAAGCCGCCCGAAACACACCACACAAACGAACGCGAACCAGGCTCCATCTGTCGTTTGGGGCAGGGAGGGAAATCAGTTGGCCCACATCTGACAAGATCTGTGGCTTGGGTTCTGGGGGGAATCCAAAGCCTAGGAAAGCATTTAGCCCAAGTCTGGCAAGATCTGTGAGGTAGCTTCTGACTTTGGGATCGGAAGGGCCTCCAATATGATTCTTCCAAGGCTTGGAGAAACGCATGGGGCCTTCCCAAATAATTGTCCCAAGCCTGGAAAATAAATCGCGTGATCGATGGGAAAATCGTTTGGCCTTCATCTGGCAACTTCTGTGACTTGCGCGACTTGTGATCGTGATAAAAACAAGTGCTGGAAATCATGTGGCCTGCGTCCAGCAACGTCCGTGGTTTGGGGTGTGGTTCTACGCAAGAAACAACTGAACCGTAGGGTTAGTTAGGTTTTTGGGTTGCCGCTTGCTTCCCTCCTGGTTAGGGTTTAAGTCCCCGCCCCATCCCTGTGTGCATGCCTTCACGTGTGGGCCAACGTGCCACAACGCATGGCCATATGGAGGACAATGCAAAAGACTTTACTCAGGCAAAAACTGCACTTCTTGCTACAGGGGTTGCTAGGTTTATGGTTTGCTTTTTGCTGCTTGTTCAATAGGGTTTAGGTTCCCTATCGCATCACCCCGTGTGCACCACCCTACTGCCCAGACCCGTGTGCAAAGCAACTCGGACTGTCAGAGGGTCTACTAAGTTCCAGTGTTGAAAGATCGGCCAAATTGGCCGCAGCCTTTGCGGCGATCTCCATCTCTACATCATGGAGTATATGGCGGTCGTCGTCTGCCGGATGTGTGTGCGGGGGGCTCCAACCAGCTTTGGATACCAACCAACTGGCTCGTCTGGGGCCAGCGTTTGCGGAAAATTGGTCTCTAACTCCTGTGGCGCTCGCTTCTAGATCTAGCAGAAGGGCCTGCCATTGCATGAGTTCCTGTTGCCAATTGTGCGGTGTGGTTGCCTGGGGAGATAGAAGAAATTTGCATCATTGACAGACGCAAATCTGCTCCCTAACTTCACATACCTGTTGAAACCGAGCCCCAAGCCTGCATGGCAGCAGCTGCCGCAGTCCTTGTCACGCGAGCGACCTGCCAAATGCGTCACAGAATCAGCTGATATGCTGCGCCTACTGTGGCCTGACACATGTCCCAACATCATGCTGAAGAAGCTGTACACACCGCTTGGACCAAAGGTCAGGACGGGTGAAACGCTCTTGATGTTTTTCCTAGCTACCGAGCCGTTTCTGCACTTTCTTTGCCAACTGCTGGTCCAACTTGCAAGACTCGCCGCATTCGATGCAATCCACGGGCTTCTTCCTAACCAAGCGTCGCATCAGTGCATTTTCCTCTTCTTGGAGCTTCAGGGTGAAAGTCTTTTTCAGATCTCTGCAGTCTCCATGCAGGTCTACTAGAAGAATGTGAGGCCACCACGCATTCCCATGTTTGACACTGATAACCGCATTTTCCCGGATTGCTGGTATCTCATACTGGTATAGCACTGTCTCGTGGAGGTTGCGAGGATCGGTCTTCTTCAGCGATTTGTTGATGAGCACCACTAGACTCCTTTGCTTGCGGCGATACATGTTCTGGACGAAGGCAATGCTTGCAGAATGCCAGAATCTATCCACAGGCCGAATATGTTCCCCACTGCAATTCTGAAGGTCATTTTGATCTGCCACAATTCGTCCCAGCCTAGTGTTCGGGTGGACTATTTGCATGTGCAACTGCTTCGCGAAGCTTCGAAGAGCCTCCTTTGTGGTGCGATTTTCCTCGCTACCTTGACCATCCCAGAACCCAGCCCATAGCATCGAGTCCTCTTTTTTGTGCTCCGGTCTGGCCAGTGCCTCAAGCCAAGCTGGAGAAGTTGGTGATTTTCTCCGATCTCGAAGATGGAAGATGGCAAAGACCTCCTTCTCGTTGGGATGCTCGTGCACCAAAGCTTCCATCAAACCCCACAACTCCCTCTGGCATTCTGGCTTCCTAGCAAAGTAGGCTAAATTTGCCAAGCCGGGATGAGAGGGCTGGACCAGCACGTCGAGGTTCCCAGAAGGCGCATCGAGCAGCTCCTGTTCGTTCTCTGAGCGAACAGCCAGAGCAGGCGCCAGCAACAACAGGGAGAGTTTGAGCGCAGCCATGGCAGAAAAAAACTTGAAAGCCTTTGTCAGGCAACAGCAAGGTTTGCCAGCTCATCACCTAGGCACTGTTTTGAACCACATATGCTGTTGGCGAATGGCGTCGGTGAAGCAGCACATTCAAGTTGATGACTGCTGCCACCTCAGGGCATGCTCGGCTCATATGGCAAGTAGCCAAACTTGGACTTGGAATGAACTGATGGTTGACCGTAGCGGTGGGTACATACACAGAGCTGCCAAGCTTTACCCGCAAGTTGATACCCAACTGATGGCAACAAGTAGAAGTATGACATACGCGTATTGCACATGAGCACATGACAAGGAGAGCCTAGCAGCAAGAGCCTCTCATGACAGCAGAGCCTGCCCAAAGCAAGATTGGAGCTTCTACGGAAAAAAGCCGACTAACCGAAGATCACCTACATGTCGTGTCGTAGCTTCAGAATTTGCAACGGGGGTCCTCATGGCGTTTGTATCCATGCTTCTCTCCCCTCTTAACTCAGTATTTTCGCGACGCGTCTCCGACTCATCCCCACATTCCGTGTTTGAAGGGCGGCCCATGACCCGCAACTAAAACTGCCTCGCTTCCAAGGCTCAAGAGCTTGGATCATTTTTTGTTTTGCAGCCCTCCTTCTTCCCTTCACCCCCGCCTCCCCCCCAAGCCCCCTGGCCACAGATGTGCGAGCACACCTTTGCAAACCAGCGCGGAAACTACGGACAGCGCGCCCCAGGTTGGGCGGGTTTGGTGATGTTCCCCAAAAATCTGGCCCCCAAAACTCAAGGCGTCCTTATTTCAGTGGGTTAGGTTGGGTCAAGAAAGGAATGTGGCAACAAGCATCGAATTTTTGGAACCATGTCAGAGCCAAACGAGCTCGATCAGAGCTATGTTGGATCCAAAATCATCTCACGCCGAGATCGCGATTGTGGAGGGCTGTCTGTTGCAGAGGTGCTGCTCGGCCCTTTTTTTTGCAAAGGTGTGGCTCTTTGCTTTTTGGTTTTGGAACGCTTCAGATGCTGCGATTCGGCCCCAAGACAAGAGAAGACGAGAAATAGAGACCCAATGATGCTGATGCCGGGGACGTGGGGCATGGAGACCCAATGATGCTGCGCAGGACAAGCATCATGAGTATCCTTGGCTTAGTGCGGACCCCTAAAGAAGCGGCGCTCCCGCCGCAAGCCCAGCTGTGTTGATATGCTGGCCCTGGAGGTTTCCAAGAGCAGAAGAACACTGTAAATACCATTAAGAACGGGTGTAGAGCGCCGCGAACAACGCCAAAGCCGAAGGCTGCCCCGAAAACAGCACAGCGCACGGGATGAAAGGTTCCTGGGCTTCTGCAACCCAAGCCCAAAGCAAAGAGAAGCATGGCCAGCAACGACAAGCGCAGACCCAATGATGCTGGGGGCACGTCCAACATCATGAGTATCATTGGCATAGCGCGTGCCAGTAATATCCCAACTACTTGTAGCGGAGCTCTCAGAATACCCACAGCACTCTGATGACGGAAACCGCCCGGAGGGCAGCTTGAGTACGGCTGGGGGGGGGGGAGTTGTGCGGGGGGGTGGCTGATTTGCAGAAATCCTGTCCCCATTTCAGCTTTTCAGCATCATTGAATGTGTCGTGCGGTTTTGCGGCAGCCTTCGGCTTCAACATTGTCCGTCGCGCTTTACGCACGTTTTTATTGGTGGTTACACAATGTTTTCATATGTTTTCTATATGTCTCCAAACCCCTGCAGCCAGCATCATGAGCATCAGCTGGGCCATCGTTGGTGGCCAAGCGGATGTTTTTGAGCTTGTTACTGTGCGCCCTCACGCGAGCTGCAGACTGCAGGGTAGTCCAGCAAATGCCGGTCCAATCAGCCTTATATCACCGTTCAGAAGAGCTTGGTTTCCCGAATGCTCTGCAGAAGGGTTCTGCCTTTAAGTGCTGAGGTCCAGGGGTCCAGGAGGGGCCAGGAAAACGCTGTTAAAGCATCGTGTCACGGAGGTCTTGGGTGACGGCCCGTTTGTGGCCATAATCTTTGCTTATAGGTCTGGCTGCGCTTACGCAGTCCCTCTCCCCTGGTGCAGTCTGGTTCAGGGAGTGCGCGTTTCTGGCGAGAGCCAGCCTGGGGTTTGCTGACGTGAGCCCCTTAACTTTGACCCTCCAGATTAAGGATCTTCGGCATCAAGCTTTTCACACATTCAGATTGCGGATCTTCAGCATCATTGAGTCCTCGTTCTTACCCCCAAACTTTTGCCACCTTAAGATTAAGGATCTTCAGCATCATTGCGTCGTCGCTTGTTCACCCCCTGCCTTTGACACCTTCAGATTAAGGATCTTCAGCATCATTGGGTCCTCCTTTCTCATTCGGAAGGCCTTAGAGCCCAGATCGCATTTGCTGTCGGCGTTGCTGGCCTTTGGCATCAGCCCTTGGCCAAGAAGGAGGAAGAGGGAAAAATTGTGGATCCATTGATTCGCCGAGGCCCCTGGCCTTTTTGGGGGCATTACTCTACCCACCCCCCCTTCCACCCCTCCCAGCGGAAAACTCCTCCAACCCGTTCTTGGGCGGGTAGCTCTGCTAAGACTGGCCAGAAGCCTCAAGTGGCTGATTTCTAGAGGGCTCTGGTGAACCCCTCCCTGCCCTGCCCTGCCCCCCCTCTGGTCTGCCCCCTGCCGGCTCCTTTCTTCGGCATTTCTTTCCTGAGCTCTCGCAGCTGCCCTGTCACGACTTGCTCTTCTTCTGCATGCTGTCTGTCCTCCTCCGCCGCCGACGGCTACTCGAGCCGGCCGAGGCGGAGTGCGGTAGCGTTCATGTTATACACTTCTAAGACCCCTGATTGGATGCAACTTCTAATTTCTATCGCAACCGCTGCCGACTTGAGGGCTTCAGGCTGCGGTGGGCTCTGTTATACCCTCCCTTCAAAGCCGACAGCCGCACGTCGCGCCTGGCGGCTGTAGTGCAAGACCCCAGGAGGAAGGTGGCAGCATCATCGCGGGTTTGCTAGGAAAACGTTCCATCGTGGTTCTTTATGCAAGAGGGATTTCAATGGAGCGTCTCCTCGCGCATTTCTGCAAATGAGCATGCTGCTGGCAACAGTCTCATAGCTTAGCAAAGCCAATCGCTGAATCTTCTAGATGATTCTGCATGGTGCTGTGATGCTCTGGGTGTGCTAAGCTGGGAACACGGAGCCACAACTTTCTGGGAGTTTCAGCGGATGAAGGCGGGAATGGGATCTGTTGGAAGCCCCAAGCTGTTTGCGGATCTTGCTGCTAGAATTTCAGCTTCACAAGCTGGGGCTGCTTCGAAAAGACGCTTGGAAAAGGGGTCGTTGTTCAGCTCTTTGAAGCTTGGCTCCATACACAGAACTTGCGATGCATGAGATTTTCATGACAAACGCCAGTGCCTAAAGGGTCCTGCAAAGAACCAGTATGCAATCATGATCAATGCTGTGCACCTTTTGAGCCAAAAGGTCGAGTCAAAACTCCTGTTGGAACCCTTCTGTTCGGCTGCGCCAAACCCTTCGACAAACAGCCCTCTGCGAGTTGGCCTGGCAGAATTTTTTCTCCAATTGGGTTCGAGTGCGAGGGCTTGAGTATGAGGCAAATTCAGTCGGAGCCTCTTCATTCAGCGGTGCACAAGAAGAACCCCAGTGACTCTTCTATTGCAAGCCCATACTCCTTTCCTGCGCGCGTCCTCTCATCCATAATCGTTTGATAAGGAACGGTTAAGACTACTATCGCTATCATTGCTACGGCGAGAAGAGTGCTTGTCTACCTATTGTATCACCAGAATCAACAAATTATCATGAAGATTGCTACTTGTGCTGCTCCTCCTCCTGCTCTTCCTCCTGCTCTTGCCCACCACAAACTCCAACAGTGCTGGTGCAAGTGGCAACTGGTCCTTACTGAAAATGCTGATGCTTCACAGGCTTGGTCTGCTGCACTATCCACTGGCATCGACTTACGCAAATGGTTATCGCCATCCCTGAGAACCACTGTCGAATCTTGAGTTGCTGCTGGCATGAAAGAGTGCGCCTGAGGCGCACAGATAAATCAAAGAATGCAAGCAAATTCCCGTTGTTAAACTCCAGAAGCAGCACAGTCAGCACCTCCACCGCGATGAGCAGCAGCCGCGAACCGGCATCGATACCGTCCTCTACTGTGCACGAAGCAAGTGCGTCGCAGCCAACATTCTAAGAAGCCCCAACTCAGCCAGATGAACTAGTCAAGTGGCTTGTTGAGAGCTGAGACCGTTTGTAAGAAGAATGTTCCGCATTGACATCTCGAAGCGATTTTTTCCTGCTGACACCTCTTCTTCTGCATCAGTCTGAAATAGAGACCCATAGAAGCAACAACTGCAGGACTCACCCACACCAGCAAACACGGTGAGACCTTCGCCTCTGCAGTGTAAGCAGAAAAGTCTGGCCGATAGCGAATAGGCCTTGGTGCACATCTTGCTTTGCTGGCACCGTGACCAGACCCAATTTGGGCAAGGTGCTACAGAGCGCCAAGCATCGGGGTAACTGTTGGATTTGGGTTTGCCGCAAACGCTTCAACATGTCGCGGCCCTTGTCGGTTCGTGATTGTTGCAGGAATTTTGTCAGGTGCAAGTCTGCCCGTTGCCAAGAGCCAGCTCAACAGTACGACCCCGATGGGCCGGAGTCCAGACAGCAAAATCCATGTTCTGGGAATCACCACCAGAGCAGTGCCATCTGTAGCTAACATTGGCTAACATGATCGCCAAAGGTTTTGACATTGTCCGCAAAAGCCATGTCCTTGCATGCATATCAACCTGAAGCAACCTCTGTCTTCCGCCTTTGAATGCCTGCCATGGCAAAACTTTTTCTTGAGAGCCCCTGAGGTGCTCTCGTAACTCAAATGAAGCAGAATGCAAAAACTCTTTTCCTGTGTGTGAAGGTATCAAGACCTTGACATCAAGTCTTCTGAGCACTCCTTATGCATCTTATTGGGGAAATCTTGAATGTTCCGCAGAGCGAAGATTCAACTCAGGGGGGAGGTGGTATTCAGTGCTTCGGCACTTTCAATTGGGGAGCCGACGTCAACCGCTGTGCGGTGCCCTTGCCGCCTGTGGGTTGCCATCGCCATGCAAAGACATCAGAGAAGGATTCCAACAACTTAATTAAGGTATTTCACACATTGCCTTGGAATCTCTGGCTCGTTTCTGTTCAGATCCTCCAACTGTACAAGAAAATGAGGGAAACTCACTCGTGGCATAGAGAATCTCTGAAGCCCAACCAAGCAAGCCCGGAACTGCCACCTGGTGCCTGTATTGAATACAACAAGCTTAGAATCAAGAGACCAGCATGTTTTTCCTTCTCCTAGCGACAAACACGAAGACCATGATGCTATGACGATGTCTGGGACTAGTCCTGTAAGTACCATGCTCACTCGTCAGCACAACAAGGAGCATGAACAATTACACTTTCGACAGAGACGTTCATCTCACGTATTGCCAGCTAGCTTTAGCCTATGAGGCCTTACTGAGCTGCCTTCGGCCTGCTGCTCGGCCAGTCTCTCCGCCGTAAGTTCCAGGCACCTCCAGCCGTTACAGCAAAGGCCACCAATGTAACTGCAACGGCAGTAGGTGCTAGTAACAGCCGCTAACAGGAGGGTGAGGAAGAGGAGTAGTAGGAGCTGCGAAGTGCACTGGCAGCGCTCAAAAAAGCTGACAAAGTGTCTCAGTCCTGCATTTGTGAAACGTGTTTGCTCTCTGAATGCTATCTGCATGAAGCGGACCTAGAATACAAGTGGCGGGCAGTCTGCGCACCTAAACTTCTGGGCCGGCTTGATCGGACAGCAGGCACTTCTAGGCGCACAACAAAGACATGTCCCATGGACATAGGCGATTCTCACACGCCTAATTATTTAGTTTGGTTGTGAGCTCTCAGCCATCCTCGCCGTCGTTGTCTGCGCCCAGGGGAATCTCCTTGGCGCGCTCCTCCGCCACATCTAGCCGCTCCCGGATGACCCGGTCCTTGAACTCCTGGTTCAGCTGCTTGGCCTCCTTTCGCTTGGCCCTTTCCTCTCTCTTTCTCTCCTTGATCGCCGCATTCTCGGGCGTCTGGCAAAATGACATCATCCCAGATCGAAGGAAATCACGAAGTGTATCCTTCTCAGCCCCGTGCTTGGTGAGGACATTGGCGATGTTCTGGGCACCGTCCACCCAGAGAACTTCGGCTCCTTCCTGTCGGACTGTCTCACGCAGGAGCGCGCGCTCTATGGCCATGCGCTTGTCGCTGCTCGTCGATGTAGAATCTTTCTGAAGATAATCGTACACCGACCTGGCGTCTGTGACGTAAGCCCGGCGCTGCCTTCGGATGACTTCTGGCCAATTGCGAAGGTCTATGTCTCCAGTCAAGGCCTCCTCCAGCAGGACAATGATCCAGTCCCCGGCCTCGACCGCTTCCGCCAGGTGCGAAGCCTCCGCCGCCAGAGTAGATCTGCACACTCGCTTAGTCAAGGTGCTATGGTAGGCCAGCACGTTGGCTCTTGCCGGCTTCCCATCCAAGATCTCCTTGTTGGCTATCAGGATAAAGTAGCCCCCAACGCTGCGGTAACGGAGCTCCTCCTTGTGGTCCGGCGTGCCATTAGCGTGGCCGGAATCGGCAAAATGCAGGACCACGGCCTCCCGCAAATTCACATCAGACCAATATCGTTGCCGAAAATCGGCACCTCGTTTGGCTTGACCCACGAACTGTTTGAGAAGGAGGAAGTCGGCGACGCACGTCTCGCTCTTGCTTCGTTGCACCACCCCGTTCTTGTAAGCAAGGTCACACCGAAGTTGCCTAGCTAGCCAGCCTAGCTCGCCAGCGCTGGATTGGAAGACCTCCTTCTCCTCGGCTGTCAGTGGTGCCCGAAGATGCTTCCTTCGCTCAGTGTCAATCTTCACCGGCTTGAGGCTGAGGGCATAGTTGCGCATGCTGACGTCCACGTGGTTCTGGGCCGTCTGCTGTATCTCTCTCCCACGGAAGATGAAGGACTTGAAATGGTTCGTCGAGAACTCCTGTGTTTTGCTGAAGGCTGAGTCCAGCACGGTATGGTGAAGGCCGCCCTCCAAATCGTCAACATGGGTGACGAGAATTCCAAGCAACTGGCCACTTCGTCGAAGATAAAAGAGCGCTGGCTCCAGTCTCGACTCTCAAGGTGCTCCTTCAAGGCCAGCCAGAACAGACGGGCTGCCTCCGAAAAGCCATAAATAGCTTTCTTGGCCCTCAGCAATTGCCCCGGCCGAACTCCAGGAAGCCTCCTCTCGGTGGTTCGAGGTAAACCTCCCGGCCCACACTCTTGCCACTAAAGTAGGCATTCTTGACGTCCTTTGCCAACAGCACGAAGTGGTGATAAGTCGCCACTGCCAGACAGATTGACTCGGCGATCGCGGAGGCTGTCGGGGCATCTCTCCGATAGTACCCCAAGACCGGTCTTTGAAACCTTGTACCACCAGCCGGCTCTTCGCCAGGAAGTCTTTGTCCACCAAGCCATCGTTCTTGTTGGTGCCAACCCACCTGGTTGGGACAATCAGATCGGCCTTGTTGCGTCTTATGTCCTCGCTCTCCTTCATGTCCAGGACCTCGCACGCCTCCTTCGAGAGCCAAGCGGACCACTCTTTGGCATCACTGCCGCCTTGCCCTGTAAAGAGTAGCTGCTGCTCAGAGCTAAGCTCCTTCAGGTTCAACTCCTTGCGGCCCTTCTTCTTTCCACCTTTGCCGTCGCTGGCGGCCAGAGCCTCGTCGCGGTCCTGGAAGTGGTTCCGGCGAACGCCGAACATGAAGTCGGACATCTCGACGCCCTTGCTCAAGTACGCGGCCTCGTGCTTGTAGTAGTGCTCCTTGGCCTTGTTGTTCAAGTAGTCCGGCTGGGTGGCCGCCGAGTAGGCGTCGCATGTCTCCCGAACATAGTTGGCACTCGACCTGAGCCGCTTTGCCTCTCGCTCTTGTGCCTCCTCCTCGGGACTCTCGGCCATAGGAGAAAGCTGCCGTCTGGGCTGACTTTGATGGTAGTCATGGATCTCAGGGTCCCACTCCGGCTCGTCCAGGTCCATGTTGGGGAGCCCGTCGGGATCAACTGGAATGTCTGAGGCTGCAGGCCTGTTGGCTGGGGGCCCACTTGTCCGCTGCGCCTTCCGACTGGCTCGACTTGCATCTCTTTCCGATTCATATCGCATCCTCTGCGCAGACAAGGACGAAGAGCTCATATCTCCTTGGAAAGGGCCCCCTGCTGAATCTTCCTCTGGCGCCTGTCGCCCTCTTGCTTCAGCTGGCTCCTCTAGCCTTTCAAGCTCACCCTCCTTGGCTCCCTCTTTGGGTGCCTCGGGCGCCGTCTCTGGCAAAGGGGGTCGATGTACCCGGTGCCGCCAGAAGCTGGAACCATGTCCAGCAGTGCAACCTCATTGTTCACGACCAACCACTCGGCGACCTCGCGCCATGCTAGGGGAAACTGCAATCAGAATTCCACGGTGGGACAACATGGAACCCTCCTTGCCGACCACTCTGGCCAGGCCTCTCCAGCAATTGGGCCCCGGAGCCTTCGCTGTCTGGTCGTAGTAGAAGACAAAGCAGCCAACCGGGAATGGCCCCCGTGTCGGTCGAACCTGTCGAAGTTCTGCTCGGCGGAGCGCCGAGTCATTGGAGGCTTGGACATAGGCTTCCCGAGCTGCAAAGCGAAGTTGGCTGCGTCGATGGAATCTTGTGCCAGCCGTCTCGGCCATTGCCATGGCACCAATTCTCCCGACCTCATTCTCGTCCGTCAAGTCAGCGGGCAAGCGGATCTGCTTCCCTAACACCCATTGCGCTGGTGAAAATCCACTCTTCCTGGCCAAGGCATTCTTTGCAGCATTGGTGGCAGCGGCCGCCATGATCACCTCATCTCTTCCGATGACTTGCTGCGACCAGACCATTCTACGAAAGGCCGCCTTCCATGTGGCCCCGTGCCTTTCTATGGCCCCTAATTGCCACGGTGCTGCTCGCGCTGCTGCCTCCATGAAGCAGCCCTGGCTCGCCAGGTCCTCGGCCACCTCTGCCAAGAAGTACTTGGCCCTGTCTGTCGGACATGACCCCGCGCTCCGGGTACCCAGCCCAGGAAAACCAGCTGGTTGTCAAAGCTTCAAGCACCACGGCACCAGTCAGATTGGCAAAGGTGTCCGCCAAGACGCTGACCACCTGGTACAGTGTGCCTTGGTCCAGCACGTTCAGAAAAGTCCATGACTGACCTTGGGCATCTTTCTCCTCGAACACGTCCACGCCGATGAGCACATTGAACACGTCGGCAATGGGCAACTTTGATGGCCTTGGTATTCGAGGCTCCTTCAGGCGTGGGCAATCTGGACAACGGAAAAGTCGACAAGCTTTGATTGCGACATCCGATGCTCGGGCTATGCGGAGGGCTCGAAGCATAGCTGGTGTAGCTGCATGTCCAAGATTGACGTGTACTCGTTTGATGGCCAGTTTCAGCTCTCTCGGCAAGGCTTGCCACTGCCTCTCTCTGGCATCCTCACGTTGTTTCCATGCATCTTCGCCATCTCCATCGCCGGGGTCGCCCTCGCCATCGCCAACCTCCTTGCCGAAGATCGCGACATAAAGCTGCCGGTCTCGTGCCACCAAAGGTCGGACCTGAGATGCTGGACTCATGTTGTACCAAGCTTCCCAATCAGTCGACAGAGCATCGCCTCCAGCCAGCAGCAAGTAGGAACGGCGAAGCGGAACGTCATGCGGTCCGGCATGCGGTTGTGGCCTCTTAAGTCTTCTGGCCTGCGTGGACGCCAGGATCAGCTGCACATCGGCGTGGGCTGCCTCAACAGACCTCCATGCGGCACCAAGTCGCTGTCTAAGTTGACTTTGGTCCAGCTTGCGTCGCCTTCTTGTCGGACATACTCCAAGGTGGACTCCAGAAGCTGTATGGCCTCTTCATCTCCAAGCTCGGTCCAGAAACCCCTCTGTAGCTGTCGTGTACGTTGTCTACGTCTCAAAGCCCGATGGTCTCGTGGTTGTGGTTGCTGTTGAGCTTCTTCTCCTGCTGCATGCTCCGGTGACGCTGCGCCCCGGGCCATGGGAGCCTCTGACGGCTCATATCCGCTAAGGTCGTCCCGATCCATAGCTTCATCGAACGGCACTGCCGAGTCATGCACTCGATCTCTCCAGTCGTCGCCGTCCTCTGCTTCTTCTTCCTTAACCTCGGTCTTCACCCGAAGCGGTGCCCGATGGTCTCGTGGTTGTGGTTGTTGTTGAGCTTCGGTTTCTCCTGTTGCATGCTCCGGGCGCTCGACCCAAAAGGTGGTCTGTCCCGTCCAGCTGCCATCCATCACCACCGGCCGCGCTTGCGACCACCAATCGTCGTCCTCTTGTGACCTGACCGTGCCATCTGCTAGCCTCATCGTGGTCAACCTCCGCCTCGACAGTCTGGCCACCTCAATGGGTGGCGCCGTTGTGGACAAAGGTAGGAAAAGCTTCTGCCGCGGCACGCGGTGCACCCGCACCAATCTGTCCTCCTCCAGGCTCCAGGTGTCCTCGAAGGGCTCTTCAAAGTCCTCGTCCAGGTCGCTGGCGGTCTCGTCCCCGTCGCCGACCGGAAAGGCTCTCTCCCGCACATCGCAACCATCAAACTAAGCCATGGCAATGCCGTAGTCCATGCGCATGCTCTCCAGCATTCCCTGGCAGATGGCTCTGCAAAGTGGTCGCGGATAAGCGGCCGCCTGTTGGGACCGCCGGCCGTCTTTATTGCTTCCAAGGACTGGCTGGTGTGCTCCAGGGGCGCACTTGCATTGCTTGCAGACATGGTTGAGGATGACCGGGTTGTTGGACAGCCATCCCGTTCTCTTCCGGATGGGCCTCCCGGACTTGCTGTCCTTAGCGCCATAGCGGCACTGATCTCCACATGCAAAGGACCCACCGGCTTGCTGAACGATCCGCGGCAACACTCCCTCAAAGGACCAGGCAGCCGAGGTAGCAGGATTCTCTATCAGGTAGTAGCGGCCGGACTGGTGAACCTCCTTGGCCAACCACGACACAAAGTGAAGCATTCTCTTGCCGACTGTCCGTCGCAAAGCTGTCCAGTCTTGGTCTGGGTTGAGGTTCGCCAGGATCGACCAGACGCGGCAGTCGAACGCGATGATGGTGAGGTAGGGGCGGTGCTTCCGCACCACATTCCTGACCATATCCCGGCCAGCCTTCGTGAGCAGGTCGTACCCGTCGAGCCAGTCAGTTGGCTGACTGCATGTCCAGGAGTACTCCTCAGAAGCGGCCCTCGTCACGCCAAAGGCCCCGCCGAAAGGCTCGAACACAAAGGTGCCGCGGAAGCCATTGGAAGCCCACTGCTCCGCCATGCTGTACTCTCGCCGAAGGGCAGCTTGGGAACGAAGGTCTCGGCTATAATGGGCACGTTCTGCTCGAAGTAGCTCTTGGACTCGTCTGTGGGTAAGTTCGCCGACCTTGTCCTCAAGGAGACGCCTCTGGGCCCCAAGTCGGGCAGTTGAGCTGCTCTTGGTCTCGGCCCCGTTGTTGGCAGGGTCGGCACCGACTGCTGACAAAGGAGGTGCAAGCGCGCCTCCTCGGTGTAGTAGACCATCACGTCGTCGCCTTCAGGATCGGGCGCTCTCGCCGCTGCTTCCGAGCAAGGTCGGGGTTGAAAGCGACTTCCACTGCCAGGTGTTTGGTGCGAGTGGTCACCATGCCAATGGTCAGGTGTAGTTCTTGGACTATCACTTCCCGCTGGCGCATGAGGATAATCATGTCCAAGGCTTGCACGCACGGTATCGATAAGAGCAGCGGGGTGGTCCCTGTGCTGATCTCGGCGCTGTACACCTCACCCGGCACACCGCCGAAGAAGATTGGCACCCTCCAGACCGTCAGTCGGCCCTGCGAACTCTTACCATCGGCGAAATGAAAGAGCTTGCTGGCGTTTGTGGGGGTGCAAAATGCTCCCGGAGGAAGCGTCCGCTGATAACTCTCTCTCCATTTCTTGCTACGGAGGCAGGACGTGCAGGCAGTGTCGACCAGAGCAAGTCTCCCCCGCCTCATCTCCAAGCAAGTGGCGCTCCTCTTCCTCGGGCTCTCCCCCTCCACCGGGCGAATTTTTCCCGGCGTAGCTGTACTCAAACGAATTCTCAGTTTCAGGCTTTGGCTTGGGCGAAAACAAGTGCTCACAATTGGGCTCTTTCCCTGAATTCGATGGCTGTGCAGATCTGGACCTCGATGGCCAACTGCCCGGGTCGAAGATCGTGAAACAAACTGCGCTGTCTTTAAGACACGCTGGGGACAACCTTGCCAATCTCCCAGTCCATCGGCAGCGCCTTCCCGGAACGTGGGTCGATGACCACCTCCTTGGTCGCCTTGGTGTTGGCCCCGGTTCCCCCGCACGAAACGTGCCGCCAACCTTTGTCGCCATCAAGTCCGCATCAGCGGCAGAGGCTGCTACTTGCGCCTCGAGCTCGCAACCTTAGCCGGGCTGGCTGCAAGGAAGGTGTCGGGCGCCCGTGCCATAATCGAACTCCCGGACGAACTTGCCGCGGCGGCCGGCCTGGGCGCTGAGGTAGTCGAAGCTGTAGCGCCAACCGCCTTGAGCTGCACAAACTTCTTGGCGCACCCCTTCTTGCCCACGGCCTTGCCTGCATAGAGCTGCTCAAGCCTCTCCACGATCTCGGCTCGCGTCCCGGAGGTCTGTATGCCCCAGCGGTCGCAATCACACTGCAGCTCTCGGACCCGAAGTTGTGGCAAGTTCACTGGCCTGGCTCCGGCCAAGTTTTTCACGGGGATGACGTTCACGTCTTCCTTCTTGACCTTTATTGGCACGAACACACGCTGGCTGTCTTGGCCTCCGCTGCTCTCTTCACCACCTTGCGGTCCAAAGCTGGGATAGCCGCCGTCAGTCACAAACGGAGCCGGCGCCTCCTTCCAATCACTGGTCGAAGGGGCATATGCCCGACTCTTACGCTTCTCGTCCAGCTTGGACTTGCCGCTGTCCTGGTCCATCTCGTCCTGGCTGGTGTCGCCGGCGTCCGGGTGGACCGCGTAGCCTGCCTCCTCGTCGTCACTGATGCTGAAGAAGCAGGGGTCTGTCTCGGTGGTGGCCACGAAGTAGGCCTTCCCACGGCTCTTTCACGTGAGCCGCCCTTCTTACCTTTGCCGCGCGAAGGACCAGAGCTAGAGCGCTTGGGGCAAGCAGCATCGCCTGCCCAGTGGCCGAGCCGGTTGCAGACGGCACAGCGTGACCTAGCCTTCTGCTGGGCCACGGCTTGCTTGCGCTCCTCGGACAGGGGCCCCAGGTTAACGGGGTTTGAACCCCCTATTCCTTTGTATCTCCCTTAGTCTCTTGCGGCACTTGCGGCTCTCCTGGTAGGACGAATATGCTTTGTAGATGTCGTCGTCCTCGCTGGCACCTTGGTCCGAAGGGTTCTCACACATCTCCTCCTGGGCCAGGTCCGCGTAGGAGTCGTTCACTTCCGTCTCCTCGTGGTAGCCGTCGTCCGTGTAATCGGGAGAGTCCGGGGCCTCCTCGTGCAGGGACTTGTTGGCATAGCCGTCGTCCATGGTCTCCTCGCTGTCGGCCTCCGTGGCGTGAGCGTATCCTGTCTTGCCGTTGTCTTTGGGCCGTCTACTTGTCCAGCTGGAGGAGTTCTGGCGCTCCCTCTCGTGGATGTCATAGCATGACACTCTGAGGGCATGCTCGATGCCCTCCACGCTATAGCTGGACTGGTTGGCCAGGAGAATTTGCCTCCTGTCTTCCTTGCTGAGATTCACATGCCTGAGCAGGAAGTAAGCTTGAAGGTCATCACTCATCTTGACCCCCTCGGCAACGTCCTCGAGATCTGCCCAGGCTTGCCTCCTTTGTCGCAAGAAGCTGTCCACAGTCTGGCCTCGACGTCGGTGGCAGTTATCGAAGTAGTTCTCGAACGCCTCCGTGCGTTTGATAACGCCAACCTTCTCGATGCCCTGAAGGGCTGCGAAGATGTGCTTGTAGCCGTCTGCCTCCTTCAGCTTGTCCGGGGCTAGGACCAGCTCTTCGCACTCCTTCCAAGCAGGGCCGTGCAGTCCGTGGATCAGGCGGAGCCCGAACCTCGCCTTCTTCTTGGCCAGTGAGCGGCGCTCCTTTTCCTCATCGTCTCCACTCCCTTCGAGGTTGTTGTAGGCGAAGAGGACTCGGCGCCTGTACTCCTTCATGAGGCCGGGCTGGACTCCAGTGTAATGTGGTATCCCATCTCGGTCCACCACGATTTCGTCATCGCGCCAAAAGGCGCCGCCGGAGCCGCCTCCACCAGTAGCCATGGGCCGAAGCTCCGCTACCAGTGCGAAGTGCACTGGCAGCGCTCAAAGCTGTTTTAACGCCAAAGCTGACAAAGTGTCTCAGTCCTGCATTTGTGAAACGTGTTTGCTCTCTGAATGCTATCTGCATGAAGCGGACCTAGAATACAAGTGGCGGGCAGTCTGCGCACCTAAACTTCTGGGCCGGCTTGATCGGACAGCAGGCACTTCTAGGCTGCACAACCAAGACATGTCCCATGGACATAGGCGATTCTCACAGGAGCATATAGTAGTAGGAATAGGAGTCTGTGCACCGGAAGAGTAGTAGAAGCAGAAGAAGAAAGAGCAGCAGTGCAAACAGCAGCAATGGCAATAGGCAAGGACGCAGATCATAGCGGCATGCATCACGGCTTAAACATGCTCATATCATTTGTGGTGATTACAACGTAGAACGGTGAGAACGCCAGATTTCTCCTGATTGTCAAAAGAATCAAAATAAGAGATTACTGGTGAATAATTATCGGTGTTCTCCACACATCAAGGAACAACCATTCACTGCAGGCATGCTAAGCGTAGGTGTAGGCCTTTTCTGAAGCTCAACGATGTCACAAAAAAAAACTCGTAGGGTGTTTTGGGGGACCTATCCGAAGGCAAAACCCTGAAGTGTAAAGGTGGGGACATCACTGCAACTGCTGGCACAACAATATCTTACAGAACCTTGCCAGCCGGACTTGCTTTGCAAGGCGAAAACAAACGCTCTGAGCGTTTTGCTGACAGCAGAGTTTGGAACAGCCCTCTCTTGTTGGGACTGCGCAATCTGGAGGGGGAAAGCATCTTGGATCGAAAGACCTACTGGCTGCAGGCTTCCATGCTTCCATGCTTCCAAGTGCAACGGGCCGAAGCCACCAACCCCTGATTCCCTTGATCAAACACTTGAAGGAGCCTTATGCTGCCGCTGCAAAGGCATGGCACATTCAAGCAATGCCTCTTTCCCAGAAGGCTCCATGGGCCGTGGATGGACTCGAAGGCTTCCTGGCCAGCGAAGACCTCGATAGCAACAGTCAAGTGCTCGCGAGCTGCATCTGTTCTGATAGGGGGAACAAGAGTTATGCGTGAACTTGGAAAGGCAATTCCGAGGAGAACGCAACATTTCATACGAAGGACTGAACTCCCGAACAACGGCCATTTACACCCTGAGCACTTCCAGGCTTGATTTTTGCGGATCCACAGCTTCAGGCCTTACCCTTCCCTGTTTGACAGAATCGTGTAGCTCACGCAGCTGTGAGGAGTCCCTGGCTCGGCAGCATTTCCGCTGTGCTTGCAGTCGGCTAGAAACTTTGGCTTCGCCTTGACCTCACCGGTGATGATGAGAGCGGCGTAGCCGGCCACCTTCAGACGTGAGCACGAGTACGAGCACGCGATCTAAGCTCGATTTCAAATCGTCAGGGCCTCTCCACGACGGAAAAGCGCCGTCCCGTGTGCATCGCTACCTGACGTGGCGGTGACCATTGCATGCATGGCATTGATTTGCAGCAGCTGGATGCTGCTGACTAACGCATGTGGGTCGCATCGAACATGCAGCAGGATTTGGCTTAGAGGATTTGCATTTGAACCTCCAGCTGCTTTCCGGACAGGTGATGAGAGTGGAGTGTGGAGAGCGAAGAGTTGCAAGCGGAGTGCAGCTTACCCCTACTTTTGCATCAGATTTTGCAAACAGAACCGAGAACTACGACCGCGCATCTTTTTGCGCATGGCAGCTGCGCGAAAAAACACCCGAGCACGATGCAACATATCCAAATGCCCATAGGACCATGATGTAGTCGTGGCCGCAATTCACAGTCCACTGGCCTGTTCCCACCATCTGGCAGCCTCTCTGCAGGAATACCTCCCGCAGTGGATACTGAACATGCTGTAAAGGCAGCGCGACGTTGAGCCACAGTTCTACAGTTCTGCAGCAGGGCTGCATACCTTTCACCTGCAGCCATGCTGCTTTACAGAGTCACCACGGAAAATGCATTCTGTGCCGTGTCGGAAGCAAACCCGCCGCCAGCTTTCTGGGGTCTGCACGACTACTGATCTCGCTGGTCCGCTAGTGATTGCTATTCAGCTTATTGATTTAACAGCGCGACGGGAAACTCTTGAAAACAAAGGCTATGAAGGCACGGTGCTGGAATTGCTGGATGTCCTGCAGCATGTCGCTTGCATTGCGTTCTCGAACTGGAGTACGAAGATAGATCCCAATGACAACCCTGAAAAATCTGTGATGACCAAGCCATGACACACCTGCAAATCTGTTCAGGGAGCTTTAAACAAGCATGAATACCCACCATCCATCTCATCTCAAAAGTCTTGCCTCGAGACGGGTCTGTTCCACCTGGCAGACCAAAAGGCGGAGCAATGTAAATGCCGGAATGTTTCGATGATAAGAAATTGTTCATGCTTGGAGATTACTGCGGGTGCTAGCGTTCATGGAGCTGCCAACACCAGCACAAATAAACTACTATGTGCGCTGCGACACCAAGATTTAGGCTTCTGCAATCCTCTTTGCGGAGCCCCGCCACATTGCTACTGCCCAATGAACACTCCCATGTAGCCTTTTGCAAGGGTCCCTGTCACAGCCTGGCCTGCAGTTATAGAAGCTCCTCACAACTAGCACTGAGATGCAGCTCAGGCTCATGTAGCTCACGGCGCTGCTAAATCCGCAGGTTAGCAACCAGGATTGCAGTCTACAGCCATTGCATTTCACTCCCACCACAGCTTAACTTCGATCCTAGGCCCTGCAACGCCACTTACTGCCGTCGCAGGGCCTGGCGGAAGAGCGCCGGATGCCGTTGTCGCCTGGGCTTTGCCCTGCTTATCAAGCCGGGTTATGTATGGGTTGCATCTGCCTACCATTTTGCACTTGTTAATCCCTTCAGTTACTTATGAGCAGAAGAAAAATTTCTGAACACATCAAGGGGCGGTTCTCGAACCAGTTTAAAGGCTGCAAGATATGGCAAAGTGCCCTAATTTCGATCTCAAATGAGCAGGTGTAGCAAACTTGCAAGAACCGTGCACCCAAAAGCAAGTCCTTCGGGCAAGGGACAGAAAGGCAGCTGCAGCGATGACCTGCGCTGCATTCTGGCAGGAGGAGCTGTTGTAATGACTAAGGGCAACAAGAGAAGCAGTAGCAGGAGCATGAGCAACGCTGACAAAAACTGGCATCATTTTATTATGCCATACCCAGCTGTCACCTGCCTCATCTTTGGAGAGTGCTCGGGCCACCTGCACCTTCTGCGCCCGCCTTATAGGACAAAGGTCACTAAACAAACGGTGCAACAACAAACATGCAATGCTCATCATTGAGACTCATCAGCCTTGCATCAGCTGAAGGAGCGGTCTTATTCAAGGCATAGGGGCTCATGGGTGCGACTACTTGCAGCTTATGGGAGAACTCCCCCACTGGGCGGCATTTCAAGCTTGGGCCGCTGGGCATTTGCTGCTTTCAGGGAACTCAGCCTCTGTCGCGCATTCTGATGACAGTATACTTAGAGACTGCTCATAAAAGAGATCAATGCCAGAGTAGAGTGCCGGTAGCAGAACCTTTCCAAAACATATGCAGTAGAATACTATCCTGAGGACTCCAACTCTAAAGCAGCTAAGGCTCCAAGCCTACATCCCCGGACTCCTGTGCATGCTCCACATAACACGATTTGTCTGACATCAGCCTGGAAACTGACTTGAAGCCATGAAGGCATGAATCCTAAATAGCCTTGACTCGTGACCCAAGCACAGAAGCCTCAGCCATACAACATGTTGAACTTCAACACCAGGAACCCAAAAAAAAACTAGAAAAGACTTGACATGGATTCAAACCAACAAGCGCTCAAGTGCATGCTGAGCCTTAGAAGGATGAGTGCCCTGCGCTAGGGGTCCCTGGTGGCTTTGGCCAGTGGACTGGTCCAAAGACTCGTGGAACCTTCGGTGTTCGGGGACCAAATCACTTTAAGGTCTCGACTTTGAGTGGCTTTCAGAAATTAGGTCATGATGCAGCTCCCACCAACATGTGTTAAAAGGGTTCTTCAAAGGCACCTACTGGCCTTTTGTGCCCTTATCAGAATCCAGTGCACGGAACTTTAGCCTCTCTACACAGCGGATCGTACGGCAAAAATCTAGCCAAAGCTTGGTCCAACGCGCCTCCGTACGTTGGAAAACATCCCACTAGGCTCGCTGCTTACCTTGCCAGGGGCGTCGATGGCCATTTCTCACCAGTAATGCTTGCCCTTGAGAATTTCCAAACCCATCATGTTTGCGCCCACGCACGCCCTCTGCAGGAAAGCTGAAGGCATTCAGTCGCCAGTTGATTCAGCTGGGCGAGGGTGAAGAATTCAATCCCATAATGTCTAGTATTCACGCTCCCATCAGAACACTTCTCCGCGTGATGCAGTGGAATTCATGGGAGATGAACGAAGAGTTTCCACAGCCATGGCAGTGTTCATAACAATAGAATGATGATACCGGATTTCAGAAGGACTCATCATCAGGCTGGTAGTGCCTCCGAGTCTTTATCGTCTGCATCGACCTGCCCGGGAGCTCTCAAGCAACAGAAAAATGATCCCTCCTTTCGTGGTGATCACACTCTCAGCAAAAGATGTGATGAAAGCCCTTTCGTCAATTTTGGAATTAGATCAGGCCCTACGAAGGGTGGGGTGAACTCATCACCTAGCTCGGTGAGAATTCACACCATGTACAGCAGACTCTGGAATGGAAAGACTACACAGCAAACGCTAATCATCCGCATGTAGAAGCTGCTTCAGGCAGCTTCCAGCTCGAATTGAGCAAAACTCAAAATTCCCCATGCGGCTGCAGATGCTGAGCTTTGGCAAGAGTTCTACAAGGATTTCAAGCTGTGTTTGCCTTGCCGTGCTTGACCGTCTAGATGCTGGCTTCAGATAGGTGAGAGGCCATGGGTACATGGATACGTTCCTGGTCAAACAGGTGACCGAAATCGCTTTCCATAAGAGCTATTTGACAGGAGACGTCCA